TAGGGTTTATTATTTATTTATTTATTTATGTATTTATTTATTTGTTTGTTTATTTATCTATTTATCTTATTTGTTTAATTATTTTATTTTATTTATTTTATTTTAAACGGGATGTTACAGCTAGGGTGTACATTCACTTGACAAATCACTCGAGACATTTACAACAAACCTCATGACTCGAGATTTCAGAACCAATACCCAACATTGGTAACCAAACCCCTAATAAACCATCCTCAATAAAATGAGGTCCCCAATTGCAAACATTCATCAAGCGACTTCCGATGCATAACTAATACATCCACTAAAACACACTTCTCCTATCCTTAAGATCTAAACCAGCTAGTCACTGAGTCTCCCGACTCCCAAAAATGCACTAAAACACAAGCATGCCAAATATGACTAAATCCCCGAGACCTAAGAGTCTCATTCAAACGATCACCAGGTCCCACCCATAAGAATCATACAACCACTAGTTCACGATACATCGTGACACCTTCTAACCACTAGAACGATAGGCTCACGGTACTACGCCGATCTTGTCGTAATTCCATCATTGGCCTAAACACTCATAACCAGCACCATATGGGCCTAAAGATACTCAATCATTAACCCACCTACTTGCAGGAACCCAATCAACATCCCTCTCAACACTAACCAAACACAACCTGAGCCATGCCCCTCTATAACGCACAATTCCTTTCACAGAGCGAGCTACTACCAACGCAAAATAGACGAAAACATGGTTACACACAACCATGGATTTAGATAGGCGGTTGCACTCCTGCTCCAAATCAAAGGTTACTAACCAGATAAGAACCATACCAATAACTCGGACCAAGTGTTCTCATGCTATCTTACTCAGCCCATATACACCCCCAAGGGGAAACATATAACTAACCCTAGATCTACTTTATTCCTTCTTCCTCACAACCTTACACTTATAGTGAGGTACCAGTAGATCTCACTGAAATGACAAACCTCTAAAGCTAATAAAATTATCCTCTTGAATGGTCGAAACAAAGATCCTACACCTTGATTGAAACTGAACAGATCTTACCAATATGTAACTAACTTGATAAATCTTCCAAAGTTATCCATAAATGCTATTAAAATCATGGTCAGATGAATCCAAAATTCCATCTTTGCCGACGCGACATGCCAAAATTGGATTCTACGAAGTTCCAAAGCCACACCTGAAAAACTAAACCACATCGCTTTGACGTCCGGTCTCCTAATAACCAAGGATAGTTGCCAAACCTGAGCCCACTAGGAACAATACTTCCATAACCAACAATTGAGGGTACCCATACCCAAAAACCAAAATGTATAACGTATTGATTTTGACGATAGGTTGACGTATCCATTAGAATTCAACTGATAAGGCTCGAAACTTTCGAAGGACCTCAGCTATCGATGATGAACGAAATAACCAACGATCGAGAATTCATTCACAGCTAATCCACTGATCCAATACACTACATACCAAATACCATAAGGAGATACTCATACCAAACTCTGAAGTTGATTGACAGCTCGTCAACTACTCACCCTAGACTATAGATAGAAATCTATACAATGAGCTAACAAATCCCACAACAACTGATACTCAACCTGAGTGACCCAACTGCCTCATGACCTAATCATCGGTGATGCTGAAAGAACCACAGGATACAACGAGCTCCTTGTCCAATAGCCTCCTATCGTGAAGACAACTCAGGCATTCCTGAGTACATACATCTGATGGCAACTTTCCCTATACCCGGTTTTCACCAAATATTGGATCAAAATATCGCATAGCCGACCCACAGATACCGGTGACCCATTCTTCTAACACCATAAACTCGAACCGATCAATGATCCTCCAAACAGAATAACTAGTTCTCCCCCACTTAGGGTTCGATCTACCACCAACTGGCATTGCAAACAAACCATATCTCAATCTGGCTCAACCAGGTACATACCATCTCCGAATCTTGGAATGTATAACACAACGCAAAATGATCTTCCAGATTAAGACCACGCAAACCCAAATAGATTCTGAGTCTCAGATGGAGACCTTGGAAACAACCGATCATAACTACTTCTAACCTCAAGAACCCCATATAGATGCACAAGAAATAATTCTGACAATCCATCCATAAAACTGATTCTTTATCCAGAACAAATGGATTACCACTTACCTCACCTACAATTCCCCAACCATCAATTCATCGTGAGGATCATTCGTATACCAGAGGCATCACTCTCATAGTCGGGATACACCAGAGACAACAAAAGTTGTCATTCCCAATTCACCTCCCATGATCACCTGAAGTAGTCAACTAATACCTAACCCAACTGTATTCAAAGAAAGCAGACTCTTGATCTTATCTCAAGGCAATCATACCACAAGAATCCTCTTGTGCATTCCCACATTGCCACACTTTTCACCAAAGAAAACCATAATTATCTAGTCTGATTATGGGTCTACACCCTAACTCTGCAAATCACAGATCTGACCTCTATTTTCCTCCCAACGCGAGAACCTAGAAGTACATAACCCCCATTGAGGATAGTGACATCTTAATCCATCTGCCAATCACTCAGCCTCCAGCTGCTATTCTCGAGCCGATCAACATAATCACTTCCTTCTTGAGGCCTACGACTCAACTGGCACCACCTCAAGCAAGGCCCTCGAGACCTCGAAATAAACTAACTCACCTAGGTCTACACCATCCCAATATGACAATGCCAATAAGGTCTAAACAATCACTAGGCCCATCCACAGCCTGAACAACCATGACCGATAAACCGAATAAGACAGAAAGACTTTGTAATGAACCATGGTGCCAAACCATACAATCTACTCTCAATCAGCTCCTTAGAATCCCCGAAATTTTCCTCGAATCGAGTATGAATCCTGTTCTTTCCGTAGTACGGACTCAATACTACCTTCCACACCTACCCGTACTTTCCTTAAGGATCGTTCCAGATCCTCAAAGTAACTACTTATGTCCACTACTGATCGATCCAATCATATACACCCGTTCTCAAATTAATACCCACCGTTAAACATCATATCAATTCCTCTAAGGCACTTCCTAGGCTCTACTAGGATTTCAACCTCACCCTGCCATCAGTTGCTGCAGAACCCCTACTAATATCAGCTAACTACTTCATGAATACATTTACATGCAAAAAACCTTAAATATTCTTTCTAATAAAAGACATACCCCTACAACGGTTGGACTCAGATAAGAGTTGGGCAATATGGCCAAGCAAATTACTCTAAGATTATTTAATCTTTACTACATGTAACTTATCATATTCACTTAATAGTTAGCTCACATCAATAAGAGTCCCACAAAGCACAAAGCAAGCAACATTCAGGCAACAACACCCTAAAAGATAAAGGCATCCTCCAACTCCCTTTGCTACTACGATGCTAGGAACCTCCACTAACACTGTCGGTTGCCTTATGCATGCAAATTATACACAAAACGGGATCATATAGACTGTCGAGTGAATGAATCTACCCTAAGCCCACAACCAGATAAGAAACATGAAATAAGGCCAAATCAGTCCTTCTGGGGCTATATGATCCTAATCATATACAGTTTTTAAAGAATACACTTAGCGGAGGCGTCGAGGGAGAATGTCCCCGACAATACCTTTTGTCTTGTCTGGACCGTTAGGACATGGAGGCGTCCTATTAGCGTATCGTGCATGACTTAGTGGTTATTGGTGCAGAACCACCGAAGATCAGGGCTCTGAGCACTACACTTGTCGCTATAGGGAGTGGTTGGTACTGTTTTGGCCTGTTATAGACCGGAGCCAATTGTTCTGAGTTGGACCTTCGCATTAGAATGTCGGAGCCTAAGTACAAGGCCTCGAGGGCGAGGGTCATGGCCTAGCACTTCAGCTGATTAGCCACTGTTAGCAAGGTCGTCCTTTAGATAACCGTCCCGTTATCTTTGAACATAGTCCCAGAGGGATACGTTAACAACGCCTACTACTTATCATATGTAAAACCTAACGAGAATTTATTTATCTATGTTAACTCATGCTTGTTTCTCATCATTCACCTCAATCATTAACTCATGTTTTTGTCATGAAAAGAGATCTTAGAAACTCATATATATATATATATATATATATATATATATATATATATATATATATATATATATATATATATATATATTCATTTTTTAGTTTTCTTGATTTCTAATTTTGTGTCATTTAGCCTATTTTTTCCATTTGATCGTATTTTTTGCAATCACATCTCTTGCAACACAAATATTGAAAATATGTTTCCCAAATTCTTCTTCTTTAACCATTACGTTCTTCTTTAAATCATTATACATTCTCTAGGTTCTAAGTTTATCATTAGAGATGGAAATACAATCGAACTTATGGGCAATTTTCAACCAGATGTTTGGTGAAGAAGAATAAAGAGTTTTTTTTTATGAAATAAAAGTTTATGCTTTTTAGGAGTTGTTGTATGTAATTGTTATTTGTTTACAGTATTTATGTATACGTTTGATGTTGTGGTAGGTGGTGGTAGTTGGGTATCAAGTGGATCCCTAATAAATACCACCAAATGTATTTAAGTCATTAGGCAAAATGTCACTGCGACCCAACAAACTAACACATTTTGTTTTAAAAGGTCTCTTATCTTTTTTTTTACATCCTAGGGTTGTATACTTGATTTTTAAATTTTAAGAGGTCATCATTTTTGAATTTTTTAACTTGTTACCGGTAAGAAGTCCAGTCAGCAAGTTTAATATCCATGTCATTAAATGATTTCACCACCACCATCCATAACCATTGATGCCACCATATACAAGCACCAAAAGCTAACAACAATGAAGACAACCTTAATCGTAGCAGAGACATCGCAAATTGGTAATTCCAACTGGTCGGAATCAATCTGCATTAAAATCCTAAATAAGAAATGATTCTATGGGAAGGACGTGAAAGATTTGTAGCGGAATAAATCTGCACCTACATGAAAGATTTCAGTTCAACACCACCACCATCGGACACCTACATCTCCCACCACCGTCCACCAACCACTGTGAACACATATTGAAAATCTAATAAACCCAGAACACCAAAAATCCTAGAAAAAAAATCAGATCATCTTCATATCAAACATTAATCCAAACCACCACCATATATAACAAAAATCAAACCAATAATCCAGTTGGAAGAGAAGGGGTGAAACAAAAATCAACCTTTCAATATTTGTCTCATGACCATGACTAGGTTCTCAACGACCGCCATCTATGACGGATCAACAAGCATCGCCACTGTCATTCGTAGCGGATCAAAAACATCACTGCCGCCTATAGCGGATCAACAACCAGCGCCCAGACCTGACAATTCGAGACACGAACACACGAATCTGTAAGTGACATGAATACACGACACGAATACATCTTGAAAATTGATATAAAGCTTATTTATCTTTGTGTATTCATACCGTGTAAAATTCATGACTTTCATGACACGAATACATGAATTATCAGGTCTACCAGCGTCACCCTCATTTTCGTCTGTGGTGGATCACAACCATCATCACCTTCGTCTTGTAGCAGATAAACAAACATCATTGTCGTATGTGGCAGATCAACAAGCACCGCCGCCATCGTTTCTGTCCTTGGTAAGACTAGGACTAGAATTGAAATCTTTCCCGAATCATAAACGATTATGTGTAATGGAGGCATAATCAATGGTATCGATTTGCCGGTGGCTGAGGAGGTGGTCGGGGGAATAAGCATATTAGTTGTGGTGGTGGTTTAGTGGTGAAGGAGAACCCCATATATGAAGCTGAATAGAGGAGTACAATAAACATAGGAAGCGGTTGAATTTTTGGAGTGATTCAAACTTTGGGTCCTAATGTCAGCGGGCAAAGGGAATCCATGGTGGAATAAGCAAGCCACATCATTTATCTTATGTACATATGGCATGGGAAACTGGTAGTAAGAGGTAAGTTACCTAAATTAACAGGTTAAAGTCAAGTTTACACCCTAAGATGCAAAAAAAAATCAAAGACCTTTTTAAAACAAAAGGTATTATTTTGTTGGGTCATAGTGAGATTTTCTCTAAATCATAATATTTTTATAAAAAAAACAAACACACATAAATATATAAAATAAAAAATTAGCAATTTTTATGCAAATATATTCTTATAATTTTACATATCGAAGCTAAAATTTCAATCTCCTTATTCTAATAAAAGAATATATTTATTCTTCTATTGACAAGTTTTATACTATTACAACTCCTCATTAATATTATATGTCACCTATCATACCACTTGTCAACTTATTAATTATCCATTTCAAATTTCAAATTTTAAGTTTCCCTGTAACACTCTAACTTTTCAAATAAATTTTTTCAATTTTCATTCTCAAAATATTACTCATAAATCCAAGTCATCAATCAAATTGTAAGTTATTATCAAAACAACATCAGAGTATCCCAAAATCCTCAAATCTCTATAAGCCGAAAGATGTGTACAATCGAGCCTTCGCCTTCCCGAAATCTACAGAAGTACCTGAAACATATATCACACAACACTGTAAGCACGAAGCTTAGTGAGTCCCCCAAAATACCACACATAAATAATTAGCCTCTCATGACTATATCTCAATAAGGACCCTTCAGTCATGTCTCTCAGTGAAGACCCTCCGGTCTCACAGCTCGGGTCGGACCCTCCAGTCCAGAATCTCAGTGAAGACCCTCCGGTCTCACAACTCGTTTTGGACCCTCCGGTCCTAACTCAATAAGGAACATAATAATATACAACATAAATCACAAAGACAAAATGCATAATATCAAATAACTCGGAATAAGCACATAAGACCCTCCGGTCGGTAACTCAAATAAGACCCTCCGGTCAATAACTCAATTTAGACCCTCCGGCCACACAGTATTACCACTCAGTTAAGTATAGTGAGAAGACTCACCTTGCAGAGTAAAGCAATGTATCCCACACTCGATTTGTTGGTCTAGACTCCGCCTACACATATCACGATCATCTCTACTTAAAAATTATATAAAAATGTTAAGCTAACTCCTCTACTAAATCTCAAAAAGGGTTAAAGACCATTTTACCCTCCATGTTCTCCAAAGTCCACAACCTAACCCAACCCTAAAAGTCAATGGAAGTCAACACTCGAGTCAACAATCCATGTTGACTCAATTCGTCGAGTGCAGCTCATGAACTCGTCGAGTCCCCCCGGAACTCAGTAAATCGCGAAAGACCGAGTCAACTCGCCGAATTGCTAACCAACTCGTCGAGTCCATGCAGTGACCAGAAGATCATGGGAAAACCCTAACCACTCGTCGAGTTGTCCTATCAACTCCTTGAGTTCTCTCATAATCCAAACGAGAAAACACGACTCAACTCGTCGAGTTGGGTGCCCAACCCGCCGAGTTCTTCAGCCATTACACATTAAACTCATTACAGTCGATTCCAATGCTCCAAACTTCAAATGCAACCTTCTAGGATGAAGTTACCATGCAAAGTTGTTAACTTTACGATCATGCAAGGCCTCACAAGGCTAAAACACCCAAAACTGAGCTCAAGAAGGGGTTTAGGACATGAAGACGGGTCAAAGCTTCATAAAGCTTGAGGCTTTATGCACATGGGGCCTAGAGAAGTCCAGATCTAAAACTCTTACCCTCTGGACAAGCTTAACCCGAGAATGGCCCTCATTTTGCACCAAAAAGCCCAAAAAACTCACATAAGAAGAGATCTAAGGAATGGAAAACTAAGGTAAAGACTTTTTACCTCCCACTGGATGCCAACTGGATGTAGATGTTGGATCTACAAGCTTTCTCTCGTTCCAAGCCTCAAAGTCCTCAAGCCTCTTCAAGGAATGCACCAAAAACACACATTTGGCCTCACACACACACTGTTGAAACATAGAAGTGACCCTCTTAAACTTAAACCGCAACCACTCACTCATCAGCAGTCAAGCACCGCAACCGCAGTCATCGTCATCAGCACTTAGTCTTAGTCTTTTATCTGTTTTTCTTAAAGTACTTTCTTTTATCCAACGTGCCCTGCGTGGCAACTCTCAACAGATAGAACTTTTGTAATCTTAGAGACTCTATAAAAGGAGTTCTCTCTTTCTAAATGAATACACATATATCTCTACGCTTCTTGAATGTCACATCTTCATCTTACTATCTTAAAGATCTTCAGATTCTAATATCGTTATCTCTTCGGAGCAAGTCAGTCTTGACTTAATCACTAAGCTTGATCTCACTTACTAACTTGGTCTGATTGCATTCCTCGTTAAGAATCAACTTAAGTGTATACTTGATATAATACTTGCTGTCTTTTATATTTCCTTATATTTCCGCACTTAATCATCTAACTATCTAACTCTAACTTATATTATTGTTGAGCTTTATGATCCTTTGAGATTAACTTTAATTTCCGCAATATAAAATTGTTCTAACGTTTGTTCAAGTGTGTTTCTCAAGTTTTTCTCTCAACAATTGGTATCAGAGCCAAAGTGGTTGCCTTTTGAAGCAAAACTCTGATTTTCAAAAAGCCTTCTATACCACTGAAGCTCATTTCTTAAAAAAAATATATTTTCAAAACAAGGAAATATGGCACAAGCATTATCTCTCAATGTTTCCAACAGTGTTGGTGGTTCTAATAGAGCCCCAATATTGGTGGCAAACGAATATCATCACTGGTCTTAGAGGATGGAAAGATACTTAAGGAGACTTGGAAGAGATGTATGGCGATCTGTAGAAGAAGGGCCACATATCCCTGTTCTAACACCATTTCAAACCGACGGCGCCACAGCCAGACTAGGAGGAGGTCAACCAGCCCTGAATCGTCCCACCAAAGACGATCTCGATAAAATGGAAAATGACGTTGTTGCTTTTTATGAAATTTCTTGTGGAGTTGCTCCCGACAACTTCGACATTATCATAAACTGCAAAACAGCAAAAGAGATCTGGGATGTTCTCAAAAACTTATACGAGGGTACAAAACAAGCTCAAGATAAGAAGCTCACAACCACACTCAATGAGTTCAACAATTTCAAAGCTCAAATTGACGAAAGTTTGGAAGACTCCTTCAAAAGGTTCAACCTGATTGTCACTAAGTTATCTAATGCTGGCACGGTTCGAAGCAACCATGAGACAAATCTTCAGTTTCTCAATGGTTTGGGAAGACAGTGGACGACTGCTAAAATGATAGTCCAAGGAGATAGAAAGATTCATTATTTATCTCTCTACAAGCTCTACGGTGAACTGCAAGCACAAGAATCCACTGTACTCAAAGATTATGCTGACTTTGGAGGACCACTTGCTCTTATAGCACAAGCTCCACATACTTAATCTTACACTCCCTCATATGACAATCCTCCGCAGTCATACGAAGCTGACTAAGAGTATGATGATGAAGAAGAATTTCAGAATGCTATTGCCCTTGTTAGCCAACAGTTCAACCGGCTACCACTTCCTTCTTTTCGTAAAAATCAGCAGTTCAACAAACCTCCTTTCAACCGCAACTTCAACCCTCAGAATAATCACTCTCGATATCCCAAAATCCTCACCCACCACCGCAACCTCAGACCACTCAACCCAAAGAGGCACTAAAGCCCATCAATCCAACCGACTCCGATACCTCTTCAGAAGATAAAAGTGATGTTGTAATCTATCACAAGTGCAACAAGGAGAATCACTTTGCAAAAGACTGCAAGGCTAATATAGTGAAAGATAGAGCATTCTACCTTAGAATGGCTCAAGAATTGGAGGAAAAGGAAAAATCAAGGGCATATGTAGCCCATGTAAAAAGAGACCATCAAGTTTGGTCATCCGGAGATGAAGATGAAGATATCAGCAACGTCAAGGGAAAAGGCAAGATTTGCATGCTGGCAACTGCGGATGACGATGGGTCTACAAAGCTGGAAAAGAACTACTGCTACATGGAAAAGGATGGGACTCTAAGCATCGTCGAACAGGTAAAACTCATGATTCAAACTCTAAATTATAGGATGCATGACTGTCAACCCTTCATAGACAATCTTAACAACACATGTGTTGTCGTCCTTACAGACTATAACAAAGCTCTAAATGAGAAGAACATAGCGTCCTAAGAGATGTTTCACGTAAGAAAAAGACTGGATAACAAAAGACTCAAAGTAGCTATGTTAGAAAAGGACTTAGAGTTAGAGAAAGATGCAAGAATGTTGAGTGAAACACAATTAGAAATAGCTTTGAACCAAAGAGATTTAGCTCAGAGTGAGATTGTATGTTTAAATCTTTTAATAGAAAAATTGTTCAATGAAAGTGAAGCTATTGAAAATCTTGTGAACAATGGAACCGTAGATAACACCTATAATTGGGGTTGGTCCAATGGATATCCTACCGTAATGGATTCCTCACCCCGGTTTAACAAAGATCGACTTTATGTCCCTCCTGACCGAGAGTTCCATTTCCCAGTCAATGACAAAACCTTTCCCGAAGACATCAGAACTCACTTCGGTAGACTTCATAACCTGAGTAATAACTGTGTCATTGAGGAAATTATGCCTGAATTTTCGGATCACCCAAGTGATCAAATCCCTATCTGTGGCACAATTTATCCCAATTCTCAGACTTCATCAGTTGTTGATGAGGAAATTGTCATAGAAGGTCCCGAAGTATCAATGCACTTTCCATCTCTGCCCTCAGACCGCAGTGTTTCTCACTGCAGTCATGGACCACAGTCTGCTCATCTGCCTATTATCAAATGTCCCACAAAAGT